AGGGTGGCTGATCACGCATGAACATTCAGTTTTATAAATAGCGCCTAAATTTCTTTTAAGGAGCAATTATTTTAATGGGTGGTTTTGCTATTCTCCAATTCAAGGCGTTTTTCTGTCAATATACTTTGACTAGTGAGAACCGATTTTTATTATCTCCTGTGTCAAGTCCTGTATATTGGCGAACTAGGGGATATTTCAATAAAACTTGGCAAAGAGACTTAATTCCACGTACTTTTGAGGTCGGTTTTTTTAGTACTCTGTACTGAGATTGTCGGTGGTTGTGTTTGTATTTTTTTTATGATACCACGTGAAGGGGTGAACAAGTCGTACGCATTATGATAAGCGACACACCTGTCCATATCGGCATTGCCAGGGCTCCCGTCACTCTGGGACATGAGTAAACAAGGCTCATGAGGCTGTAATTTCACAAGCGCTCTTCCTTCAAACCCGTTCTCAGTGCTGACATTACTGCTTGGCGGCGGAAATAGGTAAGGTGGCAGTAGTTCCTCGGACGAACTCACAAGGAGCTCTATTGCAACGTTAATGCTGCTTTGGTGAGATAACTGCTTGAAAAAACAAGCGCAGCTACGTTTGACCAATGAAGGTCAAGAAGGCTTCGTTTATTTCTTTTTTTATTAATGTGTATTTCCGCCTGAATCTGTAAACCACAAAGATATTGTGGTTTACAGATACAACTATATACGACTGCCTCCGTGGCCGAACGGTTACCATGCCGGACTGCCACCCAGAGGTCCCAGGTTCGATTCCCGGGCCGGGAGAAATATTTATATGGCCTACATTTATTTCTGTCGTGAGTTTGGGTGTAATTTGTGGTTGTCTATGTGTGTGTCCATAGCACCCGCGACACAGGGTTTCCCTAGTGCGGGGCTATGTTGAGTGTGTGCGTTATTATTATTTATTCGGTGTCGGTACATGTAATATTTGTTTAAAACATTTAAGACAAAGGATTTCACTTTCGGCCGGTGACCCTTCGTAAGGATAACGACACGTCGGTATGATGCGCTCATCAAACGCACTTAGTATTCTTGTCAGCATTTAGTGCGTGCGCGTGTGTCGCTTCTTGACTGCGCGTATCTATTATTCTCGCACTATAGTACACATGCATTATGAGTTATTGTTTTGCAATGCAGTGAGGGTAGCTTTAATGTTTTACAGCAGCAAGGCGAAGACAAATAAAAAGGTATGGGAATATAAATAGCAAATGGTAATGCAATAAAATATTGAATATTGAATATTGCACAGACCTAGAGATCGCGACTTACGTTAGAATATTGAACACTGTCACTTACGTCACTTAATTTCGATGAAAGTGAATTATGTACATGGCAACACAGAATATGAAGTTCTATAAAAAAATATTCCGTCAAAATCATTATTTTTGTCAATGAGTGGCGTAAGAGACGACGTGTCTGCTTCAATTTTTAAATGAATTTTGTTATTTTTTATTAAGGAATTTATAAACATGAAACAATTTACACATTTCTTTAATTTACTTTAAATTGAACCTACAACTCATTTATGTTGTTGCAGTTGGGTGAACATTCTGGAGTACATGTTGTTTACACAAGTGCAATATTAGATCTTTCATCTATTTAACCTTTTAGATTCTGCAACCGCCTATGTTTGTAGTCTTCGCAAAATTTTTATTAAATTCGAAGAAATTAAGTTCCGTGATTGCTTTGAAAACTTAATTCCCCTCAGACTAGAGTTTTGCCGAGGGAGTCACTAACTTAATATTAAACCCCGACAGAAAACAAGTGCAGCGAATAAATTGAACGTAGATCAAGTTGATGGAAAACAAGACCTGGGGTTAAAAACTTTGCTTTTGAAGTGCAAATTGAATTCAGCTGCATTGCTAATAAATTTGAATATTTAGAAATATATTTAGAAATGTATATATACTCTGAATAATCAAGTTTAGTTCTTTGACTAGTAGGTAAAAGTAGTTTATGAACGGAGAGCTTTACGCCTCTAAATACATTTGCATCGCTGATTGTACACCTAGCACAGATCGACCGGTTCTTGTTATCGTCCCCTCAAAAATATCTCGGAATCTGGGTCAGGAAACCGGCAAATTGCATATTTATTTCCATGTTACCTTTCAAGAAAAATATTGTTGTCACTTGAGAATCTAGTAGTAAGCTTTCTCTCTTTTTAAGCTTTACGAGCATGTGGATGAGAATTCTCTTGACAGTGAGTTCGGAAATTGTGCACCGGTAGCGAATTTGTGACTTCATTTCAAGTCTGTACGTTGAAAACATCAATAACCTCTTTTTAAGACACCCCTTTTTCATTAATGTATTTATCACCGACAAAATGACATTATGTTATAATTCGTTATCGTTCTCATTTGGCTACGGTTAAGTCTAACTGACTATTCTTTGTTTCAAATCACGTTCACTTCAATTTATAGTACGTACATGAGTATGTACAGATGTGTCTCTACTGTTTCTGTAATCCTCTCTTCAATCAGGTCACTTGAATGGTACGTCAATCAGCATATGGGTACTGACTAACTGTAACTATTATTCACCATGTCAGACAAAGATATTCAATAAGCAAGCTGTATGTAAATAAATAATTACAACTCCGACCACAGGACAAGTTTAATTACCAAGTTTCAGACTTTGTCAAAGGGAGCGCATCCATCTCTTGTAGAGATCCGATATTTCATACTGCCTGGAATGGTAGGAAGCTCTGTTGATTTACAAGAGCTTCCCATCAATTTAAGACAGCGTCCAATATCAGTTCTTTACAAGTTCGCCGCTGAGCACGACATAATAAATTGTTAATTTAAAACTTGTCTTCTACTGAAGAAGCAAAATTCTAATTTTAAGTAAGATTCTCGTAAACGAACGATCTTTTATTGTTAAATTGAATTTAGAAGTCTTTTGAACCGAATTGTTTCTGTTTCGTCCCTTTTAAGCCTTGTGTACTGTTACAGTAATTTTTCCACTGAAGTTTTGAGTATTCACTATTATTAGTATTATATTTGGCTTTTTGACTTCGAATTTATCTTCCAATGACATAAGAGTATGACGTCAGTTGATTAAATACATTTCTTGTAACGTAGAATACAGTGTGTGCGTATTTATATTGTTTGTATAGTATTGCAAAGTGTAAATATTTTGTTTAACGCTATTAAAACAAAGGTTTAAATTTCAAATTTATGCATCAATATTTGTTTATATTAGTTTACCGCGCGAATGTTAGTGACGGGAATCCGTTTTCATATAACAATACCAATTACGAATGAACCTTAACTTCGGAATTGCAAACAGTACTTAGATATTATATACAACATTTGAGGCGTGTAAAAGTAAGACGTTCAGAGTAAAAGACGTAGAGATTTTTATAGAATTCTGATACTTTTTGTATAAACTTTCAATACAGGGGTAGTAAAACTCACTAGTAAAATTTCAAAATTGATATCTTTGTTACTAGATTTACAGTAGCATAAACAAATCCATGTCAGTCCAGTCTTGACACGTTTTTATCTTATCCTGTCAATGAAAATTTTGAGATGATGTTTTCCGCTTCTCCGAACATCGTTCAATTGCAGCAGAATCATAACACAGAAAAACATGCAACTTGCAAGTCATAACTGGAGGCGTTAGGCGGGCCAGGTCACTGGGCGACTTAACTAGATCTCGTTACCGTTACCTTGTGCCGTTATGCCTCAACCACTGCGACAAGGTCTTTGACATTTTGACAAAAAATTACTTCAATTAAAAAAAAGCAGATGACAATACTTAATTAGAACCGAAGACGTGTTTAGTATTTTCGTTCAGTGAAAGAATATGCTAATGTCGCAAACAGGTACATGTCGTATAAAAAGCAATGACATATTCTAGTTACGTGCCTTTGTATTTTACGTGGAAACCCTCTTTCACGTTAGCAATACTATGTAATTATAACGTCAGAAAAAGTTTATTAGTACTGGAGCTGTTCTGTAACCATCCAAACATCTCACGAACGAATACGAACACGTCTTGAAGAATGTTATGCCGTTGCTGATTGTGTTACCGATGTATCGTGAACCTCTTATTGGGGAATTCAGGTCGCAGTATTAATACATATGTGATATACAATGACACACACACACACACACGCACACGCACACGCACAAACACATGCACACGCCCATGTACTTGCACATGCGCACAGACAAGCACACGCACACGCCAACAAACACACACTAGAAGTTTTCAAATTTACACTTTGACATTTTCAAATTATATACTGCAGTTCATACATTTCAATTTCATTACTTACACCTTTTTTTACTGTTTTATAAACTTTTCATATAGGAAATGAACCTATTTTTCCGGGTTTAAATCGCGTATATTCGTTTTTTCAAACAAACCAACGTTTCGGTTTAAATCCGGAAAAATAGTTTCATTTCCTACGTGTAACAATCACGAAAACCTAAGTCTCGATTTGAATTTAACCTTTGCAACATATTATCAAGAGAAATTATCTGTGGTGAGAGACTTGGTCTCCTTCATTATAAGCTTTATCTTAGTTTAGGTACCAGTCTCTTGCAAACATAATGTGTCTTTCTCCACTTCGTTAATCAACCGGTTGTCGATACTAGGACGACGTAGACCCTTTTCACCGCCCTATGAGCTGGTATCCTTTCTAGGTGTCCGAGCCAGCAGAGTGACGCGGACTTGATTTCTCCGATGATATTGAGCTCAGACACGATGTCCTCTAGTACGTTGGCCCCAAAATTGTACAGAAAATTTTTCTGTCTGAATTAGTATTCCCTTACATATAGATACATAGTTATATATATGTAAATGAATACCAATTCATTCGCTTATTTAGTTAGTTCTGTAAGCTAGTCAGGCTTAAGTCTGTGAAGGAGAGCTATTGCATTTCATTTGCAACTTTATTAACAATCTTAATACTTCTGTTGTGGTTTTGCTTTAAAGAGACATACCGGGTTAATAAATTTGTACTTATTGTTATTGCAGGTTCAGAATGCGAGCACTATTTGCGACGTTGGCTGTCCTGGCATTTTTCAATGCTGCAGAATGTAAGTTCACTGTAGTAATATTCTAGATTCTAGTAACCTAGCGGGAAGACACTGGGCTCCGTTAATAATTTCTGTGTTGGGTATGAAATTTAAATTGATCCAAAAATTAGTTTTGTTTCGATTTCATATTAATTATTAAGAGTTGAAGATTTTATATTACGATTTAATTTATAACCGACTTTAAAAAAAAGGGGAGGTTCTCAATTCGACTGTATATTTTTTTTGTATGTATGTTACGCGATACCTCCGGTATTTATGAACCGATTTTGATGATTCTTTTTTGTTAGGAAGAGGGTACCTCCATAGTAATCCCATTTAATTTTGAAGAAAATCATCCACCTCCAAGGGTGGCTGTTCACGCATGAAGATTCATTTTTATTAATAGCGCCTACATTTTATTATATACAGCAATTATTTTAATGGTTGATTTTGCTATTCTCCAATTCAAGGCATTTTTGTCTCCATATACTTTGAGTTGAGAGAATCGATTTTTATTATCTCCTGTGTCATTTTCCGTATAGTGGCGAACTAGGGGATAAATCCGGGTTGGCGCACATTCCGGTAACCGATTTCAATTAAACTTGGCAAATAGATGTAATTCCACGTACTGTTGAGGTTGGTTTTTTTAGTACTATGTACTGAAATTATGCTACTAACTGTACTACATATACTACTGTATATGTAGGACAGTTAGTTGCATGATACAAAAAAGTAAAGGTATTTTCCAAAGAATTGAATTTTATTTAGCTGTAGCGGACAGCAAAGCCCGTATCGTGTGCTACTTTAGCAACTGGGCGGTGTACCGGCCGGGTGTGGGACGCTACGGTATCGAAGACATTCCTGTGGACTTGTGCACGCACATCATTTACTCCTTCGTCGGCGTTACCGAGAAGAGCTATGAGGTCCTAGTCATAGATCCCGAGGTATGATTTCTTAAATTATATGCTACAGTTAAATCAACTTAATGTATGGTTTTTAGCGCAAGCGGTAATGTATTTATAATCATATTGTGTAACCATATTCCCCATAAGTCTAAAGAGTCATAACTTTAAATTAAATTAACTTTTAAACAAAATAAAAAATACAAAAAACAAAACAACTACATAAAATAAGATGAAACAAACAAAAGGCAAAAAACAAAATATAACGACACAAATTGTACTGTCATTTGTGCGGTCGTGGCGTACGCAAAAGAACTTTATTCAGATAATGCCACAGCCGTTATTGACTGTGGTGCTGGTTTTCAATGAGCCCTGAGACACATGTTGCATGTACTCTTTCTTTAGGAACATATTACTTGTTGAAAATGGCGAAACGTGTAAAATAGATTCTTTAACATTATCATCCATTAAAATACTTCCCACATTTAAAGCAATAAATCAATTTGAATACATCGAGTTCTTAGGAGTTTACAATTCAATCGGACGGAAATTCAATATCAATGTTACTAACAAAACTGTTTAAAAAATAATAGATCTTCTCTTGAATACATAAGATACTTTGTCTAACTAATTTTATGTTTGTGAACAGCTGGACGTAGACAAGAACGGCTTCCGAAACTTTACCTCACTGCGGTCGAAGCATCCCAATGTTAAGTTCATGGTGGCTGTGGGAGGTTGGGCGGAGGGCGGATCCAAGTACTCGCACATGGTCGGCCAATTGAGCTACAGAATGTCTTTTGTCAGGAGCGTTGTTGGTAAGTTTATAGTATCTTTGATCTGTCTACATAGAACTTGCTTTCACGCAATTTTAAACAGGTGTACTATTTTATTGGGGTATTCTGGAAGATTTTACTCAAATATATAAATTTCAGAAAAACAACGTTGCGGATTGACATTTGTAATTAATTGGTGTTTAAAAAAAATTCTATGTTAGTTAATTGTGCTCAATAAAAATGCAAAGAATTTACCGATAGCAACAAGTCATTATTGTGAATACAACCCGAGAATTCAACACTCAAAGTTTAGCAAAATTTTGTTAATAAAGGCAACATTATTCTTTTTTAATCTCTCATATCTCAATAAATAGGCCAATCCGTGATGGTGTTTTATAAACTTGACAATAGTATCTGACCCCATAGGAAAATGAAAGCCATGGGAAATTTCTGCTACAATAAGAAGCCAATTCAGATTGCCAATGTTGACGTTACCGTGGCTGAATGATGGACTGCCACGCAGAGGTCCCGGGTTCTATTCCCGGGCCGGGAGGAAAAATTATATGGCATACATTTAGTTCTCTTGTGAGTTTGGGTGTAATTTGTGGTTGTCTATGAGTGTATTCCATAGTGCGGGGCAATGTGTGTATGCGTTATTATTATTATATTACATATTATTATTATTATTATTGGTATTCAAAGTAAATTCTGTAATTTCGCTAAATAAAGTTCAAGGATGTAGTTATAACTAGACCTATTTCGTTATAGGTACAAAATAAACATTGTCGCAATAAACACAGTAGGGTACAAGAGAAACGTAATATAACATAACATATATAATATCAAATAACAATAAACATAACAAATACCAAGAAACAACAACAATCAGGACATATAAAAACGATATTTTCCACCCTGTTGTGAGAGCCCCTGTGGCCTAATGTATAAGGCATCGCCCTGTCGGCCAGACGGGGACTGCTGGTTCAATTCCCTACAAAGAGCTAAATATATTGTTTTTTCTTATTGAATTACAGTAAGTACGTAGGCTATACTTTTAAAGTTCAAAAATTACTTTGGTAAGCAATAAAATATGGAATATTTTCAATAGTAACGATCACATTCTTTTGTTTGTCGTTGAAGTCAATAGTTCGACTTGTCGTCACTAGCCGTTATAAATATCATTATATTCGGCGTCGTTAAATAATTTTCATTCAATATTGTATTCAAAGGCAGCTATTTATTATTAACTAACTAAGCTGACTGCTTATAATCTGTGTGTTCGCGAAATGAATCTTTCGGTAGAGGTAAATTATATTGCTTCCTTGAAATGAGTGATACGACAAAATGCTCTCAGCTTGACTCAAATGCGAAATTAATTTATTTTGCACAGCGAACAATTCCTTGCGTATTGCTTTTTGTTTAAATACACAAACGTTTTCATAGTAGCCCAATTTGTAAATAATGCGTATTATACCTTTGAAGATATTTATAGCACTCTGCAAGTGATTACAACACGTTACTCATTTTATTAAAGGATGTAAAATATAAGTAGGCGCAAACATCTCCATTGTTATTTCTTACCCCCATTGTTACGTACAATAAATATTAATTTTCTTTATAGGTTACAGTTACAATAACCATCAGGACCGTTCATAGCGGTGGTAGCCCAGTGGGAGTTCAAATCCTTGTGCTAGTATGTACTATGAGTTTAACTTCTAACTTATGTACATTTGTGAATGTTTGTAGCAACACCTTTACCTAGCGATAAAGGAAAACATCGCTATTATTTGCATTTTTTGGCAAGTCTTACACCTGGTGTTTAGCGACATGTCTGTCTGCCTGTTTCACTCAGAGCTCTAAATCGCAACGAACTGAGGGACACTGCCACTGCCCTTGTCATCGTGACACATGAGTTGATAAGTCTCATGTGCCTGTAATTTCACCAACCTCCCTTCAAAATCGTAATACTGCATTACGATTAATGTTCACATTGCTGCTTGGCGGCAGAAATATGTTAGGTGGTAGTACTTCGCTGGACGAACTCTTTCACATGTTCTATTACTGCTACTGCATGTCGAAAGAGGTTCCCTTTAAAAACATGTAAAAATCCGAATGGCGGACTAACCAAAACCCATTCTTAAATGAGACTCACGCCCAGCAATGGGAGATATAATGGGTTCACTTTTGATGATAGTGACGATCCATAGAATTACTTAAGAATAAATATAGTATTCCGAACTCATAACCTACGTAGGTATAATATCTATTTCAGAGAGAAAACACATATTTATCAGTGATAATAGGTATAAGGGGTGGGTCAAAAAGGTTTAACCCTACTTCAGTTGGTAATTGAACTGATCATGATAAACAATTTAAGCAAAACCATTAATTTCATTCGTAATAAAGCTTTTGGCCGCCCGTAAAAAACGACCACGGTCAATAGGACATTTGCATAGGCAATCAGGATCTACCATGGTCGGGTCTTTGGTCTTCATATATTATTCAGAATAAATGATAGTTGTTATCACAGCAGCAAACGTGTCTTTATTACAGTTTGTATATTGAAGTACAGTTACGAAAGCGAAACGGCAGAAAGTGAGACAGTGCAAGGAATTGTTACCGGTTTAAGGAACCGTTACATAATTCTTTAATTGACTGTAATGATCATACTTTTCAACACACCGTACGCGGAAAAAAGCATACAGACGGTTTCGAGATTAGAATTCTAACAATCTTCGTTGATATTACACAAGCTTTTTTCTAATTGCGTGGTAGTTGTTACAATGACCGATTTTGTGCTTCCTGCTTTTGCTTTTTGCTTTTGTTAAGAGAAAGATAATAAGTTATTAGGGTTTCGCGATTGTTCCACATAGGAAATGAAACTATTTTTCCGGATTTAAAACGCGTATATTCGTTTTTTCCAATAAACCAACGTTCCGGGCCCTTTACAGGTCTCTTGGCCACGGTTGATTGAGGTGGTAAAGTAGTAAACGTTTCTTGGTTCGTTCGAAAAAAACAAATATACGCGATGATTTTTTTTTATTATTTATATCAAGTGACGGGACGAATAAGTCGTGCGCCTGAGGGTAACGCTTGTCCATGACAGTTTCAGTGCCACTCAAAGTTTCAAAACGCAAAGATCCGAGTGGCACTGCCACTGCACCCGTCATCCTGAGACGTAAGTTAACAAGTCCCATGTGCCTGTAATTTCATCAGCACCCTTACCCATCAAAACCGGAACACAGTGATGCTGACATTACTGCTAGGCGGCAGAAATAAGGTAGGTGGCAGTACTTCCCAGGACGAACTCTTTCACAAGGAGCTCTGCTGCTACTATTAATTTCATTTCCTAGAAATATAGTAATTTTATAATAAATAAAATCACCTCCAACTGCCTCGCAACTACCTCATGCGCAGAGATTGCGGGTTGGATTCCGGGGCCGGAAGAATTGTCCGTATTTATTTCCGACATTTATTTCTCTCGTCAATTTGGGTGTAATTTGTGGTTGTCTATGTCCATGGCACATGGTTTAGCTAGTGCGTAGCTAGTGTGCGGTATTATTATTATATGGATATCTATTTTAGACTTTCGCCTCGCCTTATTATTATTATTATCTATCTATTATAGCTATCTATATAATTATTAATTATGAGTTAACTTCAAAAGAGCAAACCTAATTATTTTAAGAGTGTAATACAATGACGCGTTCCGCATTCTTGTAAACTTACCACGCTACTGCATCGATCATATTCGCCGCCGAGGCATTGTCGGACTTCTTTGCGGACTCGCATTGCTTCCTTTTGGGACAGATTGCGTGGTTTTCCACTATTTCCGCCGATATGCCTTTTATATTTTAAGTACTAGTGTTCCATCCACCGCGACACAAAAAGGAAATAGATTAGATGAAGATCTGGGCAGGTCATATCTTATTTTATTTTACTCTTTTATATTTTATTCTAGAGTATTATCATTATTGTGTATATGCAAATTGAGATTTTTCTGAAAATAAACAATTTTTTTTTTTACTCCAAATTTAAAAACATGGTACCTATATAAAAATATCGACAGTAAATTATGAATAAAAACTATCCATACGGAGTTTGTATAAAGAATTAATGAGCTGATGCACATTCTATTATACACACTCCCGGGCACATAATTCCAGCAAACTTGCATTTTCAGTTCAAATAACAAAATGTCAGGAGCATACTATCAATATTGTACATATGAAATAATGAAATTATTATTACTTTTTTGGTTATTTTGTTCTGTCAGTGTCGATAATTAATTACGTTTGCAATATTCGTATACCAAATGGTGCATCATAGAGAAAGTTTTAAAAATTAATTAACAACAAAACTGTGCCAATATTATTATGTACTTTTCTACCTATAATGATGCATAAAAATATTATTATTATTATTATTAAATTCTACGTATATATTACTAATAGCCATCAACGATCTTCAAGTTGTTCTATAAAATATAAAAATTCATCACGGTGTAACAGGTTATAATAATAATAACGCACACACTCAACATAGCCCCGCACTAGGGAAACCCTGTGTCGCAGATGCCATGGACACACACATAGAGAACCACAAATTACACCCAAACTCACGAGAGAAATAAATGTAGGCCATACAAATATTTCTTCCGGCCCGGGAATCGAACCTGGAACCTCTGCGTGGCAGTCCGGTATGGTAACCGTTCGACCACGGAGGCAGTTTGAAAACCATTAAAAAGGTAAACATGGATAATATCTTAAAGGAAACACTACAACTATAATTCTATATACAACACGGATGACTAACCACATACAACAAAAGGTAATTCTAAAAAAGGACTATATTCACAATACGAAATAAAATTGTAATAAAACCCTCGACGACAGTTGAAATTTTAAAGTGTATTAAGAATAGGGATAGAATGCATATGAAAGCAAAAAATGAACCAGGTAATGCTTAAACAATGTTTGATTTATCAAAAACTTATTACGCAATTTGTAACTAGTATACTAAACGTCTTTTTCATAAGTCCTTGTCGGAAATTTGGATTTGCAAAACCAGGGAAAACTTTTTCTTCGATGATAACATTACACGTTATCTTTTTTCACTATTTTTGTATTCTAGCCCTAAGACAAAAATGCGAGGTGGCTCGAATTATGTGTCCGGGAGTATATTTCCACCGCGAACATAATATCGCGAGGCGGAGCAACGAGGTATGCGATTAAAATGTTAGGTACCTAGCATTTGCATTATTACGTGACTGCCGTTCCCAACTCATGCGGGAATTTTTATATCCTTCTTTAGTCCGCTCTTTGCTTTGAATCTGCGAACTAATGTCATATTTACGAGTACGAAAGAATATCACTCTGTCGGAAATAACTCGTCTACATCAGACAAATTATGTACTCTAAATATGTAATTGTACGTCGTAATTTATGGGAGCGTAGGATGTTTAGAGACCCTTTACCGATTGAAGACAAGGAATAGAGGCGGGAAGAGTATAAAGAAAGGAGTTTATTTTAAACGTTTATGGTCGTGAAAATATGGATTATATAACGTTTTCAGTAAAGTTACATCCAACCTTTCAACAGATAGTTTGAATTTCTTATTACAGTCCCGAATTTGCGTTTATGTGATTTTGTGTTAAAAACTGCTCTGAAATATATACATGTAATTATAAATACGAAGATCGATCACTTTGAAACAGTTCCTTCGATCCGACTGGATTCGAACCACCTATTTATTACAGAAAGTTTACTCAAGATGGCGTATGTAAGTGTATTTGTTCTAAAATTTACGTCAGGAGCAACTGATTACAAAACTGACGTGAAGTCGTGAACCATAGTAAGTTTTCCATACTCTTCGCTGTACCAAGTGGTATAGCGAAGAGTATTGAAAGTAGAGTAGGTTATTGTTTTTAGGTTTTGTGCAAGTCGCGTCAAAAAAAAGCGTCTGCAAATTTGTTATTGCACCCTGCTTCAACGGTAATAACTTGTACCTTTTAAACGTTTATTGGAACAAAACTTGGAATTTATTTTACAGATTTCTTGAAGAAATACGACTTCGATGGTTTGGATTTGGATTGGGAATATCCTGGTGCTGCGGATCGTGGTGGCTCCTTCTCCGACAAGGATCGATTCTTGTACCTCGTTCAGGAATTGAAGAGAGCATTCATCAGAGCCGGCAAAGGCTGGGAGCTGACTGCCGCCGTGCCTTTGGCCAATTTCCGGCTCATGGAAGGGTACCACGTGCCTGAACTGTGCCAGTAAGTCACGTTTGTCAATCTATTTTTCTGGGTTTTAGATGTTATTTGTCTGGAGAGGAAATGTACATGTAGTTGGAAATATATTTTAAGAATCTTGTAATAATGTTTACAGGGAATTGGACGCGATACACGTAATGTCGTACGATCTGCGTGGTAACTGGGCAGGTTTCGCCGATGTTCACTCTCCTTTGTACAAGAGACCACATGACCAGTGGGCGTACGAGAAACTTAATGTGGTACGTGGTGATTTTCTTTATGATTTATAGTTGGAATAGTAACCAACGTTTTTTTTTTAAAGCTTCCACCAAATAACATCCAAATAATATTAAAAATTTCCTTCTTTAAACAAAAAATTGTTATGGCGCCACTTCACATGGCTATATGTATTCGCTATTGGGTGTTTGGCGTACTTGGAAAAATGTTTGACATACAGATAAACATGCAAACACTGGCAAATATGACCGTCTACACATAGCATCGAGTATATAACCAGAAATTGAGACGAATTACATCCATCCCTGGCAACTCATCAGGTAAATGGGCCTTATATCACTTTTAAATATCAACTCTCGTTTGAGTTGATATCACAAATTAGAAAGCTGAAACGTACAGCACCAACGACTGACCTGTGTGTACGTCTCCGTATATTCCAAAAATATTCTGTTTTTGTTGTAATAAAGATTATATCTCTATCAATGGGGGCTGTTCCATTCGGTATTGCGAAGAAAAAATTAATTACAAAACAAGTCGAATCACATTTCATGGGTAACTAAATATTAAATTATGTAATTTTTCAATTTTCGTCCATTGTAGCAAAGCTCAAGTTAAACTGATCGATTTAAAGTGATACAATTGACGACACCCATACGACACCCGTCAATTGTTGGATTCGGGCTGGGAAATCGGAGCGCAGTTGTCACAGGTGTAATAATATGGCAAAATGGTTTTCAAACAAATTAAATGACATTTCGTCTCTATTTCTGGTTATATACTCGATGACACATAGAGCCAAAAAGAGGAGTTAAAGTAATGAATATGACCATATCGTGGGCTTGCTTGTGTATTTGCTTGTTTGGGTTCTTTGATGTGAGTCGAGAAACCGACTAGCGCGCGGTAACGCGAGTTTCGTGTTTGCTATATTTGTCGAATAGACAAACGCAAATACTTGTCACACATGCTATCTACACATGGTGATTGTTTGCCAAATACTTCAAATACGCAAATACAAATAGCCATGAGAATTGCCACCATCAGGTGTTGAGTGCCGTAGGTTGCATATTATGTTTCCTTTATGTACATTAGATATAATAAGTTTACTCAAAGTAGATGAGCATTTATGTAAGGACAAATATCTATATGTATATACAGTAATGTATCTTTGTACGTAATCCGATTTCTTGTTTTGTTACAGAACGATGGTCTTGAATTATGGGAGCAGAAAGGTTGCCCAACAAATAAATTGGTGGTTGGTATTCCGTTCTATGGGCGGTCATTCACGCTTTCGTCTGGCAACACTAACTATAATCTCGGAACCTACATCAACAAGGAGGCTGGTGGCGGCGACCCGGCTCCCTACACCAATGCTACTGGTTTCTGGGCCTATTATGAGGTGAGTGATTTCTTTACAAGTGTCTTTATTTCACTGTAAACTTTTTGCCGACCCTGTCCACGGGCTGATCTGGGGTCAGGAGCTGAACTTATAAGGTCCCTGGGCTAGCACAGGTTATACTGCCCTTCCCGTGTAACCAAGAGGTTGATAGGAGGGTAACTCTAAATAAAACTTATGTAGAAAGATACGGGACTACTGAAATGTTGCACAAACTGGTCGTCAAGATGGTGCACCAAACATATAGATACAATAAATTTATGATAGTCATTCAGTCATTTTTAAATATCTTTAAATCTTTTTTAAATACGGACGTTTAAACGAATGTTAAACGCATTGCTGCGCTATTGTAAATTTGTATTTTTCTAGATCTGCACCGAAGTAGACAAGGAAAATTCAGAATGGACTAAGAAATGGGACGACCATGGCAAATGTCCTTATGCATACAAAGGCACTCAGTGGGTTGGATACGAAGATCCCAAAAGTGTCGAAATCAAGATGAACTGGATCAAAGAGAAGGGGTATTTAGGAGCAATGACTTGGGCCATAGACATGGACGATTTCAGAGGTCTCTGTGGGGAAGAAAATCCGTTGATCAAGTTGCTTCATAAGCACATGAGCTCATATACGGTTCCGCCAGCACGTACAGACCACGCAACTCCAACTGTGAGTACATTTTCATTAAACCTCTTTATATGTAACGAATCTGAATCCAAATCCGTTCGTAACGTCAGTTCATGACGTTACATGGTACGAACGGACTTGGATTCAGACTCGAGGGAGTTTTGTGATCATACATTGCAATTGCCTTCGTGGTCGGACTGCCACGCCGAGGTCCCAGTTTCGATTCCCGGGCCGGGAGGAAATATTTGTATGGCCTACATTTATTTCTCTACTGAGTTTGGGTGTAATTTGTCTATGTGTGCCCCATGGCACCCGCGACACAGAGTTTCCTTAGTGCAGTGCAATGTTGAGTGTGTGCGCTATTATTATTATTATTATTATAGTCCATTACGAAGAAGATCTCCCTTAGTATAATTAGTTTTCAAGGTCGCGAAATAGAATCATAAAAATCTCGTCACTCGAAAGCGTCTGAACAGCAGAACTATAAATCTGCTATATGAATACCAGATATAAATGAATATATAAATGTTGACTAATGGAAAAACGAAAACTACATTTAATGACTTTAAATTATGTTTTTAAAGCTTTGTAATACTCTGCACTTTGAGCTACATTTCAGAAAATATGGCTGTTAAAAGTTAAAACGGTAACGTACATAAAACGTAGAAATCGACCGCTGCGTTTGACCTCAATAAAATCTGAGCGTTTGCAATTTTCTTATAGAATTTTTATAATATTTACTTTACTTGTTCATTTATTTTACAATGTCGTTACTCGCCATTATGGTCAATTGTGGGAATATCCAGCTCTCTTGTGAACGTTCCTTATGTTGTACGCATATTTTGTGCAAACTATCTTTTAAATATACCTTTCTGTAATTATGTACACTGGTTATAAAAGGACTAAACCCTCTCCATGAAGACTAGTGCTCAGCACATAAGCCTATACGGCTAAAATTAAAAAAAAAGTCCCGTTGACTTAATTCCGACTTTAGTTTTTTTACATATTCTGGTACCAGTGGCAAATTGATTTGTGTTTAACTTTTTTTACAATGGATGATTGGCATTGAGGCCGGCTGTTGCATATTGACTTGGCTATGCATTGATTTGTATCGTTTATTTTCCTAGCCTGAGTGGGCACGTCCACCGTCCACACCGGTGAACCCCTTAGAAGGTGAGCCAGTGACAACAACGACCACCACGCAACCAACCACCGCGCAAACGACCACCACGCAATCAACCACCATGCAACCGACGATAAATACACCATCTGCGGCTATCACCACAATTGAAGCGGAGAAAGAATCTGAAACAGAAATATTAGAACCACCCACCCCAGAAAAGCCTGAACCTGTAAAACCGTCATCGGTAAATCGAAGTTAAAATACATGCAAAATTACTTTCACTTATAAATTATTAGGTTATTATTACTTACATTTCCAAAATTTATACGCATTGGAGATTTTAGAGTTGAGATGTAAATTTTCATGGAATTTTGGTTTCCAATTAATTTGTCTCAATATAGTCACTGCAGAAATACGCGGGATACCAAATAAAGTAGAACTAAGTATTTATTTCGTGCCACTAATATGAAATTTTCATTTCGTGTAGCAAATTATGTATTCCTGCATCCAAGCAGTAAGTAGCGAAGGAACGTCCTCACAAAGCGTATTTGTGTTCGCAGGAGAACGAAATCGAGAACCACGACGTGTGCAAATCCAATGAAGACTACGTACCTGACAGGAAAAATTGCGTCAAGGTCAGTAATATTAATAGTAATACCTCATATTATCATGGTTATTGAACTAAAATCGATACTAAATAATAGATGGCTATTCCGATATACACCTGATCTGGTATACATAGAAGGTCCATGGGCCCAACGTTGTAATTCGAAGGCCTGTCTCAAGTTAGTAAGTAAATTCTAAATCTTATACATTGATAAAGTCTTATACTCGTACATTCAACGATGTCTATGCAAGTTTCGTGGTTCCGACTGACATTTCAATTCGAACTTCAGATTGTCTTTTAAGTTTGACCATTAATGTATAATGAATTTTGCGGGCAACTGGTACCACAAGATAACGAGTTTGACCAATGGTATAATCCTTGCTTATGAGACAGTTCCATACCTCTCAACTTAAGTTTTGTTTATTGTGCCCCTCCCTATTAACTTCTTGATTATAGGGTAAGAATACTATTACTTGTGCAAGTAGACCTGCACAGGGATCTTATCAGTCAGGTCCTAACCCCAGAACAGCCTGTTTGCACAGATTTCATCCGGTGCTCCAAAGGTTACTTAGTGCCTTGGGCAAGCGACTCGGGTGCATAGGCACGGAACCATTGGCACGCTCACCTCCCATTGTGCATTGCACAACAAGAAGTTGTTACCGCTAAGCCGTTGAATGTAAATTCAATCTCCCGACGCTGAGGCGCCATTTCAAAAGTCCTTAGCGGCTGGATGGACCGGGGGTTATCAAGCTCGTCCTTTACTAGTTATCCGGACTAGTACCGGAAAGAAACCATAGCTTCCAACTTAAAAAGGCAACTCACATGCTCCGACGATCTTTTCGTTTTTGGCCACGGCCAGACCGCTGGTAAGACGCGCCAGATGTGCGCGGCATACACGAATTACCGAGGCCAATTAACGTGTCCATCTCTACAGCTGCCATAGTGTCTGTACCCTGGTCTTACCGAGTAGCTCGTAGTACTCCCGGGAAATTCCTATCCATCAGGACGATAGATATGGACTATTTCCCTATGGGACAGTGCAGTGTAAATATAAATATGCCAATTACTTTATTAATTAGTCTACTGGACTTAATAATAAAAGAAACATAATGAGCAATCTCTGAACCCGCACAGGTACAATGTTGTTGAAATTATATGATTCCTCAAAGAAATCTGTTACACATTATTGTGTTTATATAGAGGCAAGACACCTCTTACCTAAATCATGTTTTAATGTCCTAAGTGACATGAGCAAAGTATCAGAACATTGTCGGAAATTATGTGTGTGCGTTTTGTGTCATTCCAATGTTTGTGAATGTTTTTCAACATGCACCGTGATGCTTTCCGTTAGCGAGAGCTATTGTTGCCAAACATTGACAAATGTACGTAAGTTAGAAAACAATAATATAATAGGTACATGCCGCCTGCCGCAAAGATATTCGAACCGTCGGCTCTTCAATTACGAAGCAACAGTTCTTCCACTGGGCCGTTTCATGTCTGTATTTTATATCAGGACAAAAATTTTATTAACAAATTTTAATATTGGGGTATTATCAAGTTGTATGCATTTCATGTCTTAATTTTTTTTAGATTGAGTGTTGGAGTCGCTAGGTTTAATTCTGTCTTTCTTTTACCAGTACTGGAGATGCGTCAATGGTGAAGGCGTGCAGTTCACGTGCCAGCATGGGCTAGTATTTAACTCTAAACTTAATGTGTGCGATTGGCGCGACAACGTAGACCGCCCCGAGTGCGACGATTAGCCTCAGTCTGAACTTAACGTTTGCCCTACACTGCCGATAGTAATCATTCAAATAATTGTAGAACAGCGCTAGATAAAACAAATAAGACTTTGATAATAACACATATATTTAATAACATATTATAATATTGCTGTATTTCGCAACAAATTTCTTCATATGAAAGGTCAGTCGCCTGCAATTAAATATTGTATATAATTAGTATTCCAGTAAATATTAATTAAAACCATATGTTATTCCACATAAACATACTCCACGTTGGCTGTTGTTTAACGGGTAAATTGATAACACTGTAACAAACATTTACTAGGAACATTTGGTTGTGATTTCACTAAGCGTATGTATGTTTATGTAGGCGACTGCACACAGATATATATATATTTATATATATATAACGTATTTTATATATATATATATATATATATATATATATATATATATATATATAT